TTATTGGATTTGTTTTAAGTTTAAATACACACACATGGCTGGGCTTCGCGAACGAAGATTTGGGAAGGGCTTTACCCACGTTTGTTGCAAGCACGTTGGTGACTGAAAAGGCCAATACGAGGTAGGCATGTCCGGTTGCAGAAGGCACAGCAGAAAGACTCCTTAGGTGGTAAATTCTGCAAGGCACGATTCTTTCTGCATTGCCTTTTCTCCTCCAGAGTGATCCTACGTGCTTTCTCAAAAGCATCAGCAGCGTTATAGATGGCGTGTCTCCAGGCCTCTCGATTGGAGGCCAGAGTAGACCAGTTATGATGATCAATATGGCCAAGGCTGAGATGTTGTTTTAGGGAGTCCTTGTATCTCCTCTTCGGGACTCCTCTCATGCAGCAACTGGTGGCAAGTTCACCATAAAGCACAACTTAGGGAGGCGGTGGTCCTTCATCCTTGAGACGTGTCCCGCCCAACGCACCTGTGTTCTCAGCAACATGACCTCAATACTTGTGACAGCTGCTTGCTCTAGAACAGATGTATTGGTCACATAATCTGACCAGTGGATGTTTAGGATTGAGCGGAGACAGCGCTGATGGAAGCGTTCTAGGAGTCGCAGGTGGTGGCGGTAGATGACCCATGATTCGGAACCATATAAGAGAGTAGACAGCACTATGGCTCTGTAAACACTGATCTTTGTACTTTTCTTCAGATGTTTATTTTGCCAAACTCTTTTATGAAGCTTTTCAAAAGCACTGTATGCCTTTGCTAACCTGTAAGTTTAAATACACACCTAATCCAATTCTACATTCTGTCACCGGATTGCTGTAGAGCGGCCATAACAAACCTGAAATATTTGCATATAGAAATTAATATTTGCATAAAAGTGAAATATAGATGTGCTGAAATGAAAAAAGTATTAAAGGTTTGTAGTCCTAATCCTTGTAGTAACATCCATCCCCATGCAGCCAGACAGTGCTGGCCTGCATTACACCATTGCAGCCTTGTGTTTTATGGAAACTGTTGGCAATTGCATTGCCCACACAAGTGTTTTGGATGTTTTTTGCCTCATGAAGTAGAACGCTATCTGCCTTCACAACAAATATTCTGCATCCAAGTGTATGTAGTATCATCCTGTTTTTATCTGCTTCACAGGCCAGAATACAATAGAAGCATAACCATAGTCCCTATGGTTTTGTGCCCCTCAGAGGCAGGGTGGGAGAAGGCGTATTATGCTCTCATTACAGCCTCATTTACTTTCATAGTGTTCCCAAATCTTCATTCGCGAAGCCTAGCCATGATGATGTTGTTTCTGAATGCAATAGGTCTGTAGGCTGCTGTTCATGCAAATCAGCCATGGAGAGATGATCGGCAGAGAAGAGTTGCTGTTACCATTCCAGAACAGGTCATAACCAGACATGGTAATGAATAAAGACTTATATGTAACTATTTATTATTAACTACAAAGACAAATCAAGTTTTTAGAGAGATAAGTAAAACTGCCTTTGCAGTGGACAGTGGTCTTTGCTCGCTATTGCTTAGCTGTTAATATTCACCTAACATCTGATGTTTGAATGTCAATCCTCAGATTGAACAAGTGAGCCAGCTTTCTGCTCTTGTCCAAGCCCAGCTGGAGTACCACAAGCAGGCCACACAAATCTTACAACGAGTTACTTCTAAGCTGGAAGATAGGTAATGCACCTTTTGTAAGTTTATTAAATAGATTTTTTGTTAGTTTTGCAGAGGCAGAAAACCTGCGAGTAGGATGCAGCGCTGTTATCTTTCTCGGTTTGGTATCTGTATGTTTATGAAAGCAAGGGCCATTGCAAGCTGGGCAATTGCAAGCTGGGGTTTATTTGTTTTGGAAATGCATCTACTTCTGAGTATGACTCAGTCAGGACTGAGTTCAGGAAAGCACCTCAGCTCAGTAAAGCTGTTAAATGTAATTTAGCTGGAAGTAAGTGTTTATAAATATTGAATTCCATGAGACTTACGACTTTGGATTCCTTACTGTTTGTGCATGTATTCACAAAGTACTCCTTCTGAGAGGATATTAATAATTGCTTCTAAAAAAGAGTATCTCGTTGCATTCTTGTCTACCTGAAGATTCTCCTAAGCCAGGTAGTGAGACTGTACTTATTTGCCACCTTCTTAAATACTCCTTTTTCTAGTTTTATTATAAGATCAAACTTGATACAAGACTTTAATGAGTTTACCTCTTCCCTGCTTTTCTCTAACAGCATATGCCATTAGAATTGAAATAATATCTTTCTAATAGAGTTTTATAATTTTTAGTTTAGAATTTTTGTTTTCGTCAAAAGAGGGTGATCAGCTTCCCAGACATACATCCTTCTTCAAGGAAATTTAACATACAGGAAATATTTCCTTAGTCCATATGTTTCTCGAAGACTCTTAGTAAAGGCTGGATATAATTCCCAAGACAAGATAATGTTCACATACTGTGTGAACCTGATTATGCATGATTCTTTGCTGTTTTCTGATGTCATTAGTGTAGATCAAATTACTGGTACTGCTGCGTCTGTCAGTGTTTATTTTCTCAGAGCATACATTCTGAAAACCTCATTCAGTTCCAAGTGTTAAAATTACGATTTGGAGCAGCAGTTGTTTTGGTAGGTAGGCTGCCCAGCTGACTGTTTCAGGATATAGTTTGCAGTACTTTCTAAACAGCTAATAAAACAATTTTCAGCACTTCTAAATTAATACTGCAATTCACTTTCTTTACAAAAGTATTAAAAAATCCTTGGGAGCAGGTGGGTTGTTTTGTAGTCCATAAATTATGCCATTAAGTGAACTTACCTCTCTCTGCAATAGATTTCTCTTCCTGTATCAATTGAGATCATCCTTTTCCCTTTTGAATAATTTTAGATTTTCAAGGATCTTGCATCAGATTGCTATTATAGTTCAGCTGAAGTACATATTTTGCATAAGCTTACTGTGCATCCCTAATTGTAAAAAGTCTGCTGGATAAATCATCCTTTATTCACACCACTGGACACAAATTAGAGCTCTATGATATGCTTATGCCAGAGATGAGGCAGGAATGTAGAGCTGTCACTATTTGAACTACTACTATTTTCCTGCTGGTGATATGCAGGTGGAAAGAAAATACATGGCCCCTGGATTTTGGGGTTTGTTTTTTGACTATATGGAACAGAAAATAAATAATGCTTTACTTTTAAGTTGAACAAATTTGTTACTATTCACTCTCAGTGATGTCTACAGCAGATATTGCCCATTTTGTAGATACTTTAAAAAAAAAGATGGGAATGGAACCTGTTCATGCTGTTGTTTGGCATGGACAATGTCTTTTAACTATCAACACTGTCCTGTGTAAAATATTCACCAAAGAATGAAAGAAAGTAAGAGTTAGATTGCAAAAACCATGAAAAGTTTAAAAATGCACTTGTATTTTGTTTTCTCTGGGCTGTTTAAATTAGACTTCAAGACTTTCTTCAGGAACTGCAAGTGCAAGAATTTTCATTTTTCTTCTAAACATTAATGGAAGATATAAACTTCCTCTAAATACCATGTTTCCAGGAACTGGGATTTTAGAATCTTGGCAACCATTAGGAAACTTGCAGTAAAATTAATAAAAACTGGAAGATCAACAAAAGCTATTACTTTTAAACTTCCCATTTCACCAAGCAGAAGGTGGATGCGGTTTTCACGATATAGTATCATGACAGAATGGCTGGGAAGAAGGAATGGTTTCCATGGAGATGTTTCTTTTCTTAAGAAACATGGCCAATGCTGAGCTTTTGAGTAGTTTTTAGCAAGCCACTGGAACTGTCACTTTACAGTTCATAAGCAGAAAAAATGGTGTTTGTTTCATGGAAGTATTAAGTGTAACAGAACTTGTTTAAATATATTTTTCTTCAAAGCTTTACTGGCTTGAAAATGTAAATTTTGTTAATGAGTGAAACACAGCAAAACCTTTTTATTTAAGTTTATTTTGACAGCTTCAATTATTTATGTTTTTAATATGGTTATGAGTTTGGTTACTTTTTTATGTAGAAGAAAAGCAGTCTCTGGGGACTGAGTGATACTAATAATATTGTTATTAGGATCAAAACCTGTTAAGTCTTTTCAATAGATAAATCAAAATGTGCTATCAACAGCAAGTCTAGGGCAGACCTAGAAAAGGTTAGAGAAACCAACTTGTCTTTTAAATCTAGAGGTCTTGACTCAAGTATTCTTCCATATGTGGTATTAGAAATATATGTTGTTCTACGTAAGCTGTTCATCCGTTGCCTGGATTTTACACGGAAATCTAAAATGTACCCTTTCCTAGAAATTCTAGATATCTCAATTAAAAGAATAAGTTGAAATGAATTATATATAAAGTTTCTGAAAGTCAGGAAGACTGGAGTTTTTTCCCTTTGTGAAACAGGTATTCCAGACTGCAAATTAACCAAGCTTTCAACTGAAGTCAGTACATTCCCACAGTCTTCTCCCAAAATGACGAGAGTTGGCACCAACAAGCTGAATAGTTAATGCTTACCAGGGATAGAAGGAAAATTCTTGCTAAAGTGGGGACAGAGATGTTTATAAAGCCCTTCTGTAAGCATTGATATTCATGTAACAAGTTTTTCTCCATAGAAGCTCTTTGTTATTGTGAGACAAAAGGAAGACAAAATACTAGGTTTCTGGAAGGAAAGAAAAATTAGCAGCCTCCCACCAGCTGTTTTTTGGTAATTTAAGTTATTGTTGTAAACAAAATACACTACTCCAAATGACAAAACTTGTTTAGTGTGGATGATTGGTTGATGAGAACTTCAGCCATGGAAATAAAGATGTTTGGTGTGTCTCATCTGCTAACAAGATACTAACTCTTGACATTTAATGTTTTGGTAGAATAAAAGAGGCATCATCTCAGCCCAGGCGAGAATACCAGCCCAAACCCCGTATGAGCCTGGATTTCACAACTGGTGACAATGCACAGCACAATGGAGGAATATCCCATGCCACCACACCCAAACCATCAGGTAATGGCAGTAACAATGTGAGCAAAAAAAGCCATCTGTGTTTGAAGTTTTGTATCAGTGCAGAAGTTGCACGCTTTCTTCTGGAGATTAGTTGTGAGGGAAGATGAAAATGGGGATAGCATAGGAGAGAGCTGTTTGAACTGTTGTTTCTTTGTAAAGTGTTCACATTTCCAGGCAGGAGAATAGGAACGGACCGTCCACTGCTTTAAATGTGTCTTTGGGTCGAAAAGGTCCTTTGTACTAGAAGGTTACCTTGTAGTACAGATGTTTACAAAACAACCATTTAGAAAACCAAAATAACAACTGAAAGTTTTACATGAAGATGCAGAAACCTGAAGCCCACCAGACCTCCATAACCTTATCCTGCTTTTCAGAACCAGGTATTACAGCACAATGAGCCTGAAAGTAAAAATCACTGAAAAGAAAAACTCAGCCATCTGAGCTGGTTTTTTTGTCCAGCAAAACTGGACAGCTGCTGTGGGAGCAGCACAATCAAGATGAAGCATTTATATGAGCGTGCATAATTAATATATTTAATAACTGTTTTTTCATATATATATATTATTTCATATATATATATACATACCTACTAAGAAAGCCTTATTATTTGTTTCATACCATAAGGATCTGTTATCCCATGTTATGGTGAGGGTGGTCCTCTGTCCAGACCCTCATGTCAGTTATTCCACTTTACCTCAGTGACAATTGCTAGCATATTCCACCTTGCAAGACTGGATTTTTTTCACTAGGTATTTAATCAGGATTTCCTTCCTTTTCATCACATCCAGATGTGAATGTTTGATGTTCTCCCAGATATAGACAGTAACAGTCTCTCCATTTGCCACCTGCAACTAGAAATTATCTTAGACAATCTTGTGAACACCTAGCAATCTCCTCACTATGCAAGGCAAAGGATACAATAGAGATTCCTTGTTCATGAGTGTGGCTTGAGTCTTGCATGCTGAAGCTCTCCTCATTCCACCAGTAATTTTATTGTTCACTCTTTTTTGTAGCCGCATGAACACTTGTCTGTGCTAACGCAGTGCAGACTGATGTTCCTATGTCTCTTCAGCATTCATATTTTTCTCTTCAGAGAGCAGTATTTAGCATTTTCTTCAATAGGGCTTTTTTTTATTTGTTTTTTGAAGTGCTTGTTGGTTTCAGAGAAATGCTTTCTTCTTTGAAAATTCTTGAATGTATGTTTGGGGTGGTTCATTTAAAGAGTTTATTTGCTAATTCTTCTAAATTTCAGCTGGTAGCAATGAGGATACCAAATACATGTTGTATAGCTTGTTGGTGTCAGCACAGTAGTCTTCCTGACAAAGAAACCAAAATATACTGTGAGTGATATGTAAAGAAAAGAAGTAAGGTTTTATTACAGAATTTAATAAATTAAATCTGGTATTTGAAAAACTTGCTCTGTTGAGATCTATAGAAATGAAATATTTTTGTCCTAAAATAGCTTAAGCATGGGTCTTCTAGCCAGAGTGAGTGTTTGAAATGAATATGCAAAAAATTTGAATCTGAAAGTTATTCATCTTGAAGCCAGTATACATGGAAAAGTAGAACTGTCATTTTGATGGAGTGGCATGTGTTGTTTCATTCAGACCACTGGAAGTGTATGAACTTTTACTGTGGAAAGTCAGGTAGGGATATAATTTCTTACAATTTAGTGCTACTAAATGCTAAATATTTTAACCAGTAACAATTTTGCTTTTGGTAGGCTTGAGGCTATAGAGACTTCAGGGGGAGGGAGGATATTTGTTAATTTTGTATAATGTATGAATATCTCATTAACTAATGACTTATAATAATATCCATTAGCCATCTTAAACAGTTTATGGTCAGATGTTCATGAACTAGCATATTAGAAAGCTCTCAATTTCAAATTTTTTCTGAATCTATCCTGCTCGCCCTGCAATCAAGTGTTTTATGAGAAAAGGTCTTTGGAAATGTCATATTAAAATTCAGAGGATTTCGAGCATATGCAGTGGTATTACCTGTATCAGTGAAGTTTTCAAATAAAGGGCAAAGACACAGTTATATCTTCACTGTTGTTTTAAGGTACCCCTTACACTACTTACCTGAGGTAAATAGACAAAGTGTCTTTGTGCCTGTAAAGCTGAAAATACATTAGGGCTTTTGTGGTGTGGGCCTGATGGTAGCTTAGTTATTTTTGGATTCTCAGACATTTACTAGCTGGAACATAGAGTAACTGAAGGTTACCAAAACTGATGGTTGTCTTCTAATGAAGTTTAGCAGATTATCAAAGAACTGTCATCAGCATATAAGTGATACTTCAAACAGCAAAGTCTGTCATAGGTATAGTGGTAAAATGTTGAGATTTTTAAGCACATTGGTTTTTTGTGTTTCTTCTCCATAGGTACTCACATGGATCAGCCGTGCTGCCGAGCTCTGTATGACTTTGAACCAGAAAATGAAGGGGAGCTGGGATTTAAAGAGGGTGATATCATTACCCTCACTAACCAGATTGATGAAAACTGGTATGAGGGAATGCTTCATGGCCAGTCAGGTTTCTTCCCCATCAATTATGTTGATATTCTAGTTCCACTACCCAATTAGGATGGCTGATCCACCACCTCTGACACATATAGTTGTGTCAGTACCACTGCTTTCAGAATGCTGCTTCTTACACCTTACAAGTGCAAACTGCAGTGGTTAGAGTCATCAATTCCTAATGAGCGTCTTTGGTTTACATGTTGTCATACTATGTGGTGGTGATGCGTTGTATCTTCTGAGCTAGCGTAGCGTGGATTAGTTTATTGACCATGCTGGCCTGGTAGTAACCAGAGCCATTAGTGAGATGAAACTGGGAAGATGATGGCAAGCGAAACAGGTAACTCAGTGAAATAGCAGAAAGTGAAGGTGGTCTTGGGAAGATAATGCCTATCACTACTGTGTTACTTTTCAGTCTTAGTTCTCTATAAAAAGAAGGAAAAGTTCTTGCCATTCCATCTTTCCCTTCCTAATGATACAGTTCATACAGGTCTAACATTGACTAACCAGAACTGTATCTTCCAACCAAACTGGCTGGCTGTTTTCACAGAGAGAGCTTGTGTGTAGACCCTCTGGTTTCTCAGAAAGTGAACCACTGCACTGTGTGTCCTGCTGCTCTCTGCTAATTTTTGTATTCTTAATTATTGTTAAAAGGCCTGTTTCCATCCAGAGGTAAACTGTATGCTATGAAATGGGGATTCCTGTAGTAAAAATGTTGGACCACAAACCACCTGAATTTGCCCTTCAGGAACTTTTAGCATGCTCACCAAAATGCCAGTAAATGGGCAAGATGGGGAATAAAACTGGCATTTATTTAGTGTTTCTTGTCAAGTCTTGGCAGAAAACCTTGCTGCTTAAGCACCAGATATCCTTTGTAAACTCATTCACTGAGGAATACAGTAACCAACCAAACATGACCATCACTTCATTTTGTTTCTGTCTACCATGTGTTCTTCGAACATCATTTGCGCATACTCTCTCCTCAATGAGGACAAAATAAAACATGCTATTTTTTGTGTTGAGCAGTTAAAGACAAGTGGCTGTATATGCAGAAACATTTCCCATCTGTTTAGTTGGTTCTCTTGTGTTCCTCCTTCCTGCACTTAGTGTGTACAGTGTTGTGCCTAGCTTCTTGGCATTCTTTTGGTAACAGTTGCAGAAGTTCTGTTAGTTTAGTTATCCAGAGTTCTATTTATCTAAACTGTACAGACTCTATCAGAGGTTTAATGTGCTGCTTCGAATGTGCCACTTCTATACTGGATGATGTGAAATAAAGACAAATCCCTACTGCTTAATGTATAAACTATATCATGGAAAGTATTGTTATTTCAAATAAATGCTGAAAGAATAACTTGAATAATGTTGTGGATTATTGCTTTGTTGCTTTAAAATCTGTTGTGGTAACTTCAGCTAACAAAAATTTTTTTTCAGAAGGCCTATTCGTCATTTCCTGCCCTTTTTTTTGTCATCATCATTTTGCTTCAGTCACACAGATCTCACACTTATAATGGCCCCTGTAAACAGGATAAACTGAACACTGAGCACATTAAATTAATGTCCCAATGACCAGCGTGCAGTCTTGCGGATACAGGTTATTTCTTATCAAAGAATACTGGTGTTCACAAACTCCCTAGTAAAGCTTAAAGACATGTTAACTTCTAATTTATTTATGGGCTGAAATAAAAACAGAGACACTGTCAGAAGCAAAACAGACTTGACATGAAGAAAACTAATTGATGGCAATTAAAATATTTTTGTATAGTGAGAAACAAAAAGGAGTATTGCCTTTCCTGTCCCAGTTCCCAAGCTCAGATTCACTTCTGACTCCTCCCCACCAGCAGCACATGAGCATGAGTAATTGGAGGTTTATGGTCAGTCCATAACATCTCTCTGCTGCTTCTTCCTCCTCATCGTTCTCCACTGTTTCAGTGATAGTTCCCTGCACAGGCCTCAGTGTGAATATCTGCTGATGTGTCATGGATCATCTCCAGCTCATCCTTCTTTAACCTTGATGTTCCCTGTTTCTCACTCTTACTTCCCTCCTCCTCTTATCTCAGCACTATGTACATGTCCCCATGCATGTTGACACAGACTGACAAAGTGGAAGATAAGTCTGTCAGAGATGGCACCTCATTCACGGCTCAGTTCAGTGTCAGGCTGGACAGGGCTCTAAGCAACCTGGTGTAGTTGAAGATGTCCCTGCTCATTGCAGCAGTCTTGGTCTCAGTGACCTTTTAAGGTCCCTTCCAGCCCAAACTATTAAAAAACCACAGATACAGATACAATTCCTGGAACTTTTTATTACAGTTCTGTACTAAATCCGAGGACTGGCCTCCAAGTAAGTTTCAGTCAGTGACTGCCACCACTGATGGTGGCATACTATAGTTAAGAACTATGTTAATTAACTATGTTAATCATTAAGGCCTAACAGTCACACATAATGTCCTGGCACACCTCTATTTTATCAGATTATTATTACATAGCATTTGTGAAGGGCATGCAAACATAGGACAACAACCTTAAAAATAATTTTGCATGATTTAGAGCAGAAGGGCAGTTGGCATGCAGTACTGCCCCACCCTGCTGAGGGGCCCTGTTTTTGAGATCTAGGGAAACGTACTGTATTTCAACAAATGGGGCCAGAAGGAATGCACAGAATAGTCAAAAAATCTGTTACATGCCATCACATGATAACATAGGCCTTGTCTTGACATGTTGCACAATTCTTGGCACTTCCATATTGTTGTGTTCTCCGTCTCGCGCAGCTAATCCCTAAAGAACACTTTATTCCTCAGGTGGTGAGATCAATATCTGACTTGGCCAAGGGAGAGATTACCAGGGCTGAGAAAAGTTTGTATCTAAAGCTTCAGTGCTAGGATGAAGAGGATGATCTAAAAAGCAGGTGGCTGTTTGGTTTTGCATATCAGGTAGTTCAAAGCTTTGTCTGAGGAGTCCTGTGACTCTTTCATTCTAGAATCACATAAGACATGTTGTTGATGGATACAGCATTCTTTTTTCACTGGGAGACTTACAACTTCAGTCATCCTGCTGCCTAAGGTGTATGTTTTCAGAACTATTTCAAAAATGTGCCATGGGTACCTAATTACCAAACCTGGCTGTAGAACTTCTCCTCACAGAGGAAATTAGGAAGTCTACCAGTGCTGAGCTATCAGCTGCCAAATATAGATAAATATTTTAGTTTTGATGTTGGATTCTTTTTTCTGTTGAACCCTAAGGTTTCATGAAGCTTTTACCTTCTTAGACTTCCTTTTTTATTGCAAAATGGATCTTTGTGAAAAACAGCAAAATACCCCAACAGTTCCCTACGCTCTTCTCCATTTAAATAAAGAAGTGATTAAAAAGGGTTTTTTTTCTTATTTTAAAATATCCTCTTCCCTCCAGAAAGAAAGATGGTAGTCACACCTGGAATATTGTATTTGAATCTTGGCTTAGCAATTATACAGACAACTCTCCCTTTGCAGATAGTAATACTGCTTTTCTGGACAAGACTTCAAAATACTGTGAGGACTTCTTTTCTGGTTTCACAATTCTAGGTCTTGCAAATCTTTATGGACATCACTATGCTGAGTAATAGCTCCAGAATGTAGCCTAAGCTGATCATATCTCATGAAGGCAGGGATTAGGCTTTATGTAGGTCAGTGTGGAAATGGGTCTTCTTCCCAGCGTGGGGGTAGGCTGATTTTAAGATAGGCAAATGAAATAATGAATCTGGGCATATTCCTAGGTAACACTCTATAAAAGCGAGTACATTCTATAGCCATGTTTAATTTTCTATAAA